CCCCAAAACCCCAAAACCCCAAAACCCCTAAATGCAAGAATTAGAGTAATTCACATCAATCAATCATCTTAATTAAAGTAATTTGCAAGTTTAGATATAGATTATTTTAAATTTATTAAACATAATAATGGGCAATAATTGCTGTACTAATCGATAAAATTTTGAAAAAAATTAAAGAACTCAAATGTAGATTGAACAAAGGTGAAGTGTTGTCGATGATATCCATAACTATCGCATTAATTCTAGTAACAACTAATAAGATATGCTTAATGAGCTGGAATCTCTTTGGAAGAAGAAATAAGAGGTATTTCTGTCAATTACGTCTATATAATTAAATGAGTCAATTATTTTAGATTCATACAAAGATTGAAATGAGCGTTAGACTTCCTGAGAAAAATAGAGACAGAAAGAAGGTTTCTAGAGGAGGAACAGTACTAAGTGGAAGCAAGGATAGTAATAAAATACTGACAAGGGATATTCTAAAGTCGTTTGAAAAATCTACATCTAGCTCCGCACAATAAAAGACCTATGACTTTTTAAAACGAAATGAGGCTGATAGACCCGATCACTCCGAGCTTATTTCTGCGATTGACGAGTCCTTCGAATTCGATAATAAATATGCCTCACTCTCCAAAGATGAGAAAGTTCTAAGAAGTCGAAGCTAAGATTTAGTTGCATTTTCAAAGAAGTCATAAGAATATTATCAATCTAGAACGAAGACTCCGAAACTTGAAATTTAAGATGGAGTTAATTAGCAGAATTCAGATGAAATAACTAAGTTCATTTTCCAATGAAGTTCCAATTAAACTTTCACAAACAGAGTCGCTAATAATCATACTGAAAATACTTAATTATTAAAGGATAAAGTTATGAATAAATATGGGTTCATTGAGATTCATACAAAGCTACTAGTCCAAAAATAAACATCTATTTATAAATGGTTAATTTATTTTATAGTAATTATTCTAATAATATCACACACTTTAATCTATTCATAAAATTTTATTAAAGATAAAGTTTGCATGCATTCTAGAGCATTTAAACAATTATATCTAAGTGATTTATTAGTTCAACCATCATCAAAATTAATCTATTTTTTAACTTTCTATTACCTGATTCGATTATCTTATTCATCATGGGGTTTTGGGGTTTTGGGGTTTTGGGGTTTTGGGG